CATTTTATGAGGAGTAAGGGAAGTCGGAGGAAGAGTGTTCTATTAGCTATTAAATACAATGATAGAATTGGCATCAGCTATTTGGTATCAAAAACATCATAAATGACTCTACTTTTAAAAAGCAATTGTTTTATACCACACTAATATTAGGCACTTTGTCACAACATCATAATACTTATCCTTTGAGCCCATCACCTTTATGATGATTTTAGTTGGCAACATAATTATAGCTTGCAATTGATGCTAGTTTTAAATTAAAATGGAAAAAACTGACCTTTTTTGCCTGTAAACAGTACTCTTAATTACCTTTCTCATGTGTTCTGAAGAAAATACTCCCCCAAAGAATTGCACTAGATACATTAAAATTCGAAAAACTAATACAAAGATATACACTGGCCTATTCAGATAATTTCTTTGTGGAGTTTTTCTTGGGCCTTACAGTTATCTCAACTTGTACAGAGAAACATCTTATCTTCTCCTTCTTCACCCTTTTCTAAACAACTCCTTCCCCCCACCACCACCTCCCCCAAACTGCACTTGAGCACAGCCTTTCCATTAACGTCTGTTTTCTCAGGAAGGAAACTATTATTCCACAGAACAGTCTTTCATTTTGAATAGGTCCATTGTGATTTTATTTTGTACTTTTCTATACTCCTGTACAGTATAAAATATTAGGCCAAAATTTGCAAAATTATACCTAAAAATATGGACTAATATGAACAAAATTCAGGGTTTGTTACTGGTTTAGTTACAACAGATTTGTGTATCAAATATTGTGGTATGCAAAGCATTCTTGTCATGTAAGGAAACAATAGTGAAGAGAGCTTTTATAAAAACTGTTTATGTAGCCTTCTTAGCAGTATGTCTACCATTGTCAAATAAAATCCACTAGAATTCTGGTAATAATTTAAAGGACTTAAGGCAACTGAAAGATGTATTTCAAGCAAAAAAACTTTTTGGAAATGAGGCCTGAATATGGTCTTTCATACACCAATGTAAGTCTGGGGTAACATAATTGAAGAGGATGGTATTACATTAATGTAAAATGGGTGAAATAATCAGACTTATTGATGACATGCTTTGCTTGATTATATATTATCACGTTTTAGCTGTCCTTACAAAACTTCCAGTTGCTGTAAATAGCAAAAATATGGGAATATTAAAATGAAAGATTTTATAAATTTATTTGAAAATTTACATTTTTAGTTTCTCACTACTACATATTCTATCAGTAATAATACAATGCTACTATGGAGAAAGTAAAATTTAAAAATCAGTGCAATCAGATTTCTTGAATAGATACTTTTTTTGAGAGAGCCCATGTATTGCTTACTTAAGCAACATATAATGCAAAGTAGCTCAAGCCTGCACTACAGTTACGTTGGCAGAAGTCAGCTTAGATTGACCTTCACTAGAGGTGTAAGCGTGCAAGTTGATGTGGATAGGTTGACATAGTGTAGACACTGTTGCTTACGTTTACTATTGCTAACTTTTAGAAGTTGTCCCATGATGCCAAGTATAAGTCCTCTCAGTGGGGATGTGCACTGCTAAAACGAGGGTAGTGTCGATATGGAAAAATGATTTAATTACTGTAGTGTCTGTATATCAACATAACTTAGGTTGACTTAATTCTCTAGTGTAGACTTGCCCTTAGCTTAATGTATTGTTACAATGGATTTGGCTCTGTTCAGTTCAATTGTTGTTTGTGGAAAGGCATTTTTGGTGGTGTAGTTGTGCTTTTGGGTAGGTAGTCTCCTACCACGAATTTAGCTCTAGCTGATTGTTTCAATCTTGTGTGCGCATCCCCAGAAAGTCTTAGGATGCTTTTAGTATTGGTTTAGACTGTAGATTGCCGTGTTCTAAGTAGGTGACTAAGTCCACCACTGCGGTTACATTGGACATGCTTGGATTGATCCTTCCTCATTGTGCCAATGTTCATGCACATAACAGTTCTATTTCAGTGTCTATGCTGATTTCCTATTAGTTTATAGGTTGACTTTAAGGTGTAAAACCTGAATAGTTTAGGACTTGACTTCTCCTGGTGTAGATTATAAAGTCAGGAGGGACCATTTGTGATCCGCTAGTCTGACTGTCTTTATAACATAGGCCAGATAGAGCTCCCCCAAAATAATTCATTGAGCATATTTTTAATTAAAAAAAATCAGGGAATGTATTGTATTAATATTGCTCTAGTTTAAAGAAAAAGGAGATTGGGAACAAGGAATGCATTTTTCACAAGAAGACTGCAATGGTCTTATCTTTTTTGATGGAACAGAAGCTATGTTAACCTTCATAGCACACTTTCCAACTCATCTCTTGATTTTTTTGGAAATGCTTTTTGATAGTGTTTCTTTAGGGAGCAATTAGTATTGCTGTATTTGTCAGCTTTACATTTTTTTAACAGCTTTAGGAAGTTTGTTAAAAATATACAATTTGGGCACTCTGTATGTGAACATTCTAGGAGGTAAAAATAAGAGTTTAAATACTACTCATATAAATAAAAAAGTTGATATGTGATTTTCCTAAACATCGTAAGTATATCAAAATTTAAACAAGAATGGAAATAATTCAGTATTTCGACAACCTCCAGTAATCGGTCTCAAACTTTTTCCTCAAGATGGCTGCCCCAACAGTGCACTCAAAAGTTTCATTTTCAGCTTAAAATTATAAGAAACTAATTTTCTCTGAGCAAAATAATCAGTTTGTTGGGAAATTACCTCATCTACTAGTATAGTTGAGGTACATATTTCTGTTTTCAAGAACTATTCCTAAACTGTGAGAGTTAGGACCACCAAATTCAGTATACAGCTTCCTCTTCTCATAACTTAAAGCAAAATAAGAGTTTGATTGTGCCAGAAAAATGGGATGTGCCTGGAATAGGATTGCTTCTCATAAAACCATACAGAAGAGAGACAGAATCACCATGCAGCCCTCTCCCTCTGTTCAGGTCTGCCCCAGTCCTGAACCTCCCACCCCCAAATCAGGATCATCTCTTCTTACGTCAGTTATATTGGAAATTCATTCAGTTATTCAAAACTTTATCTGTACATGTTCAAACAAACACCTTTCCCCCTTCTCCTTGTCTTCCCATTTATATGTATGGATTAGAACCTTTTGTGGACAACTTTAGAAATTTGAAATAAAATGTCCTTGCCCACCATTTTTGTCTTTTTGAATTTAGCAGACAGGTCCCTCCTCCCCCCCGAAGTTTCCAAGGCTACAGAAACTTTAGATTTATAACTATTCTAGTAACTCACCATTTTGGGTCTTCTAGTGGACATACCTCTTATCAGCCATCCCTGTAGAGCAAATATTTCTGGCTGATCGCAGTTGCAAACAGGTAGAAATATCGTAAAGTGTGAACATGGCAGATAAGCTAAGATTAAATATTTATACCAGGGTTTTACATTTCCCTTCTCTCCCCCTTTCCCCCCCCCCTATTTTTTCAAATAGATCCTAGGAACTAACCTCTGGAGAGCCAGGTATCTCACTACATGTAGAGTTCTCACACTACAATTAGTTTTGCTTGTTTTTTTTTTTAACTCCAGTTACATCTGTAAGATGAGCTTGTGGAGTTTTTTTTCTGCCACTCTGTTTCACAAGGATACAGATGAACATCTATACCATAGGTATCAAATGGGCTTTAACTCATGTGTTTCGATAGAACTAAAGATTTAGGAAGTCAGTCTTGCGTTTTGTTGCCTTTGGGCTGGTCATAGAGGCTATACAGTATTTTTTTTTCATTCCTTACATAAATGAATTCTCTGGCGATGTAGCAAAATACTACATTAACAAGGATGACAATTACCAAAGGTCTGTTAGTGTAAGGCTAATGTGGCATTGAAAGCTTGCCTGCATGATGTTTTCATTATAAAAATCTTCAGAAATGCTGCACTACTGTTTTGTTTTAGCTTATGGTTTTGATGCTTGCTTTAAGAGGACAGTTTTGTGCAGTCCTTATTAAAGTCCCCACCTCATTCTCCTTGGGGAAGTGCGGGGGAGGGGATTTATTGCTTGTTAGACTCCCACTGGTAGGAATATGCAGAGATCACCCTGAAAGAGGGAATAAAAGTTATTTACCATAGTAAATGTGATTCTGAGAGTGTTGTCTCTGCATATTCCACTTTTCCTTTGAGTTCTGCACTCACGAGAGTTGAGGTTAAGTGGTAGTTGGGAATATGAGGCAAGGCTCCGAAGTTCAGTTTTATGAAGTGATGTTTGTACAGTACCAGTTTGGGGTACTGCTTTTCCACAAGCTCAACAGCACTGATTATATGCATCTAATAAGTGATTTTGCAGACAACATGCTTCAGAGAAGCAGCATCACTAACATACACGTGTTTTCTATTTCTTATGGAAGACCTCTATCATTCATCTGTATATAGTACAGTATGTTGGCCATTGGATAATTATAACAATTGAGTCTAAAATGGCAAGCAGCAAGATCTTGAGTTTTTTATTGTTTAGTCTAGGGATGGGGAACCTTTTTTGGGTCGGGAGCTACTGACCCACAGAAAAATGAGTTGGGGCTGCGGGGGACAGGGATGGGGCTGGAGTGCTAGTGCTGGCTCCTCAGTGTGGGGAGAGGCAGTAGGGAGAAGAGACCCTAAGCCTCAGAGACCAGACCCAGGGACCACATTCAGCCTCCAGGCCTTAGGTTCCCTATCCCTGGTTTAGCCTGTGAAAACAGTGCTTCATCTTTTTATAGGGTATCCGCCTGCATGCAACTCTAGTCTTTTAATTTCAGGAACAATGATTTCACTCCCTCTACATTTGCTGAGCTTTGGCTTTCTACCTGTAGAGGACAAGACTGATCAGGAAGTCTCCTAGATTGCTTGCTTCTTAAAATTTATTTTTGTGGTGGCAAACAACAGTCTGAGGCTGTATTAGTATAGAATTCCATCTACTTATTTCCTTAGTAAGTGTCTGTTACAAAACTGATTGCACTCAACCATTTTCCTCTGAATTTGATAGATTTAATGCATACATTTAATCTTCAGATCTCGGATGGTCAAGGAGATGAGCGATCAGAGTCACCCTATGAAAGTGCAGATGAGACTCAGACAGAAGCTTCTATATCATCCAAAAAATCTGAGAGAGGAGCAGCAGCAAAAAAAGAATATGTGTGTCAGGTGAGAGACATTAGTTAGTCAGTTAGGCATTTATCTTCCTTGGTCTGGCAAATTCCTTGTTTGGAACAAGCCAGGTCCTGAGGGTTGCCAGCCCAGTGAGGTACAATCTGTATTTAGCTGTTTGTGGGTCTAGAGGACACACAAATATTATGTAGGAAAGGAAAAATGTTTTTTGGAAACTAGATAATGTGATGGTTGTAGACTTATATGTGAAGCAGAGGAAAAGATGTGGGTGAAAAGGAAGTGGGTGAGAGAAATAACAAAGAAAATATTTTATCCCATGTGTATTTTTAATGCTCAATACTTTTCTGATTTAAAAGCTGTGTGAAAAACCTGGTGATCTCCTGCTATGTGAAGGCCTATGCTTTGGAGCTTTTCATGTAAGCTGCCTTGGGCTCCCTGGAAGACCAGCAGGAAAATTCATTTGTCGTGAATGTACATCAGGCAAGTCTGGTTCATTTATGTTTATAAAAAGTCATAATATTCATGTAAGTCATCCTCAGAAATCATGCTAGAGTATGTATTTTTCTTTGAGTGACTGCTCATGTGCATTCCAGTGGATATATGCACATGCCATGTGCACAGTTGGAATATTTTTCCTTTAGTGGTATCCATTGAGCCCCCTGGAGTGGCATCTGCATGGCTCAGTTTATAGGGCTCTGCCAACCCTTCACTTCCTCAGTTCCTTTATACTGCCAGTGATGGTCATTGGAGTGCTTGTTCTCTTGCTTTGCTTCATGTGTATAATTAGTTGTTAATTATTCAAGTAGTAGTTAGTTAATAGTTTCTAATCTGGAGGCTCGTCTCCCATTCATTTTTTTTCTCCAGTAGTGTTTCTCTCCCCATCTCCCCCGGGAATGCAGTAGGTGTTTAAGCACTGCTACTTCTGTGACAAGCCTTTGCCCAGAAGAGACCTACATATGGCTTGCATTAAGTGTTTAGATGAAGGACACTTAACAGATAAGTGCAATATTTGCAGACGTTTCAAGCTGAGGACTAAGCGAGAGAGGGACAAACACTTTATGGAAATGGCACTCAGACCCTCAGTGCTGAACCTGACGCTAGCCTCTTTGGTGTGCAGTGTAGCAGCCTGAATGTAAGACTCTTTGATACCGCTGAGAAGCTCTTAAGGAAATACTGGCATTTGTCCCTGACCTTTAAGGCCAGTTCCTTGGTTCAGCATCAGTGTGCTTCAGTGTGTCCCGCTTCAGGACACTGTAGGCACGGCGCGGCACCATCAACTCCGGCCATGAGAATGAGACTGTTGAGTCTGGGCTCATTAGACTCTCTTGTGTGTGGAATTCTGGAGGAGGACTTGGACTTCCCCTTTACACCAGATATTTTGAGGCCACTGGGGACCTTATCTAAATAATGAAGCATGCAGCTCCAGTGCAGGTCCTGGTTCACACTCACTGGCACAGGCATCAGCACCCACTGCAGAGCACCACTTTGGCACATACTTCGGCGTCTACCTGGCCAGCGGCATTGCCATCAGTGCAAATCTCTCTCCTGATACCAATACTTCCAGCATTGACTCCGGAGCTTATTCTGGCATTGGCTTCAGTTAGGCACAGAGGCAGGCCAGCCATGTTGCTGCACAGCTCTCCATCTTCTTGGCACTGATTTCCAGTGCTGTTGGGCACTGCACCCTCTTGGTCTGACTATGAACACATGTGAGAGTCGGAGACCAAGTTGTCAGTCTCCCATAGTGCCCAATACTTCTCCAGTTCTCGGCACCGCTATTCCCGGTGCCACTATTGGAAAGGTCCTCCAGAAGTGTAGGCATCCTGGCCTCCACAATCACAAGATCCTGAACAATGGCCGTTGTGGATATCCTGGGCCTACCATCAATGTCAGGGACCTGTGTCAAGGGCAGTGACAGTTTCTTCGTCCCACCAGTCACCTTCAGCCACAATGGATGCTCCAGATATCCAAAAGGAGCCTGAGTCTGTTCTAGTGAAGGAGCTTCCAGAGCAATGCGGCCATGCCAGTACCTGTGCCACCAGTGATTTGCCCACCCACAGAGCTCAAGGAGTCAGTTGTCGTCCTACACTTTCCTGGACAAGGCAGGCGTGGGAACTTCCTCCTCCCTCCCTGTCTCAGATGCTAAAGCACATCAGCACCTCCTGAGGTGGTTAGATTGCATCCTCATTGTGCCAATGGAGTTTGAAGGTGAGGACATCCTGGCCCCTTGAGGGTCCATCGAAAGTGGCATTGCCATTAATCAAGACCATTCAACCTACCACCTAGGTGCTGTTGCAGACCCCAGCCTGCCTCCCTCCAAAAACACAAGGCCAAGAGAGGCTACTTTGTTCCCCAGTAGGTGTATGAACACTTGTTTGTCAATCCCTCGCCAGGGTCACTTGTAGTTGACATAGTTAATCAGAAGGAACATATGGGGCCTGCCCTAAAAAATAGAGACGCTAAGAAGCTGACCCTCTTCGTCCATAAGGTATATTCAGACTGGGGGCTCCAGCTTCACCGAATCTACAGGCACTGTTGTTGATCTGTATACAGCTCCTAGAATGCATTATCCAAATTCCAGGAGCGCTTGCCCACAGATACGTGTCAAGAATTTGTGGCTTTCTTGGAAGAGGGCAGAACTGTGGCCCACACTTCCCTCCAGGAGGCATTGAACTTGGGTTTGAGAACCATGGCCACTATCATCACATTGTGGCACAACACATAGCTCCAAGTGTATGAGCTGTTCCCAAATGTCCAGAACACAATCAAGGACCTCCCTTTCAGCTATGTGGATCTGCTCTCTGACAAGACTGACACCTGGCTTCACAGTATAAAGGACTTGTGGATGACCCTCAAATCCTGAGCACAGTAGAGGTGGGATATTCCATCCATTCACTACCCTCCCACCTTCCTTGTCCCTCTTCAGAGACTCCTCTTATGAGCAGCTCCTCATTCAGGAAGTGCAGTCATTCCTCATGGGGAGAGAGGGGAGTATTAGAGGAGGTTCTTCAGGAATTCATGGGCTGAGGATTCTGTTCCTCAGATTTCCTTATCCCAAAACCCAAGGGACAACTTAGGCCCATTATGGATTTTCTAAATGTGAACGTGTCCATAAGAAAGTTCAGGTTTTGCACGGTCTCCTTGTCCATCATCATTTCTTCCCTGTATCCAGGGGACTGATGCATTGCCCTTGACATGAATGATGCGTACTCTCATATTTCCATAGTTTCTGAGGTTCGTTGTCCGCAAGCATCGCTATCTGTTCTACTGTTTAGCTTTTCCTCTGCACCTCGAGTGCTGCACAGCCATGGTGGCAGTGTTTTTGCACAAATGTTGCATACAAGTCTTCCTGTACTTCAACAACCGGCTTATCAAAGGCCAGACCCAGGAACACGTCTATCATCATGTAGAGTTGGTGTGGGTGACCTTTGCCAAACTGGGGCTGCTTATGAACATCCCTGAGTCCAAACTGGTCCCAGCTCAACAAATAGTTCATTGGGGCTCTCTTGAAGTCTACCGGTGCGAGAGCTTACCTCCCAAGTCTTGTTTTTGGACGATCACAGATTTCATTCAGTCTCTAAAGGTTCCCTCCCAGCACAGCAAGAAGCTGCGTGTGAGGCTCCTGGGGCACATGGAGGCCTGCACATTTGTTGAACAGCATGCTAGGCGCTCGTATCCGGCCTCTTTCAGCCTGGCTTGCAAGGTTGTACTGACCCAAGAGGGACCCATTGGGCAATCTGGTCATTCTCCCCAGCTTGGTTTCCCTATCCCTCAACTCATGGCTGCAGCGGGAGTACCCATCACCAGCCCCCAATTCTCCCTATTTCTGGTCACAGACACATCAGAGATGGGCTGGGAATATACCTTGATGAGTTCAGTACTTGGGCTTATGGTTGCAGTCAGAACCCTCCCTGCACATCAATGTCACACAACTTAGAGTGGTTTGCCTTGCCTGCCAGACCTTTCTTTAACACCTACAGAGTCAATTTGTTGTTGTGCTGACAGACTGTACAGCTGCAGTGTACCATATAAACTAACAGGGTGGTACTTACTATTCTCCTCTCTGTTTTGAAGCCCTTCACCTAAAGGACTCTTGCATCAAGCACTATATCTCCCTGCAAGCCTTCCATCTGCTGGGGGCACGGAACATACTGGCAGACCCACTCAGTCACTCCTTTGACACTTATAAGTGGTCCCTCAGGGCACACATCACCCTTTCCGTCTTCCAGAGGTGGGGTTATCCCACATAGACCTGTTTGCAGCGAAGAGCAGAGACAAAGTGGACATTATAGTCATTGCTTTCACGTGGCCATGACAGCACTGGTTCACAATGTTGCTTAGCCTCTTGGTGGATATGCCAATAGCCCTCCTGACCTTTTCACCCCAAATGCCATGGCTGAACCAACTAAAGCAGAGGTGGGCAAATATTTTTGATTGAGGGGGAGGGGGAAATTTGGTAAGTGGTCAAGTACTGCACTTCTCTATATTAATGGACCAGGCTCAGGGTCTGGGATGGCGTTTGGATGCAGAAGGGAGCACAGGATAGGGCATTGGGGCACAGGAGGGAGTTTGTGTGAAGGAGGAGATGGTTACTTGGGGCAGAGAATTGAAGTGTAGGAGGAGATGCAGGGTCTTGGAGGGGGTATGTGCAGGAGTGGGAGTGCGGAGGGTTTGGATGGTGGAGTGGAGTGCTAGATGCAGGCTCTAGCCTGGAGGTGCTTATCTTAGGTAGCTGCTGGCCAGGAGTCCCGTGAGGCCTTCAGCCAGGCTCCCTGCTTGCCATGCTCCCCGCATATGGCTCAAAGTGCCTGGTTGTTGGGGCCACGTACATTTCTGTGCATGGCATGCCACTTGTGGGGAGGCCCTCTGTGCAGCATGCACTGCAAGCATGGCCCAGACCACTCCTGTTGGATGGTTTCCCATTAGTGGGAGCTGTGACATTGTGCTGGAGGCAGGGACAGCACGCACAGTCCTCATGTCTCCCACCTCCCCAGTGGCGCATGGAGATTGACATGATCTCCACAACTGGCAGCTTTGAGCAGCTTGCAGGAGTGTGGCGACCAAGGAGCCTGCCTGAGAATCTCACTGGGTCACAGGATAGTGGCGTACCAGATCTGGCTGTTTACCATATTTTTTCCGCTCCTGAACTAGAATGTCAATGTTCTGGTTAGGGAGCCAAAAGCCTTCATCTACGCCTTGGGAAACATAATTAGCCACGTGGAAGTGCTTCTCAGCATTGCCCCTCCAAAAGGGCATTCGCTCTCATGAAGCAACCATGTCATTGGTGCTACACTACTTTTTGCACCTGAAACACCAGGGACTGGCTCTCATCCATTGAGGTTCCCTTGGTTGCCATTTTGGCCTTCCCTCTTTGAACCTCTGGCAATCTGTCCCCTGTCTTATCTTGGAAAGTAGCCTTCCTAGTGGCCATAATCTCACCCAGATGAGTTTCAGAGCTCCAGGCTTTCACCTCAGAACCCCCATAAACTGTCTTTTATAAGGATAAAGTGCAACTCTGTCTTCACCTGGCTTTTCTGCCTTAGGTGCTTTTCCCCTTCCATGTCTGCTAGGGCCATTTCCTACTCTTGTTCTTCCCAAAACCCCAGACCAATTCTAAGGAGTCTTCATTCCCTAAATGTCAGGCCTTCTACATGGAACGTACTAAGCCATTTTGTAAATTGCCACGACTCTTTATTACGAAAGGAGAAGCAATGGAGGGATTGCCTATTTCATCCCATGTCTCATCATGGATCAGGACCTGGTCAAGGTCCCAGCCCTGGGCCTGACCGCTCACTCCATGAAGGGTGCAGGATTCTTCAGCAACATGGCTTGCACAGGTTCTGATTCAGGACATTTGCAGGGCAGCAATGTGGTTCTCCGTCCACACCTTTTGAGGCACACTTCACCATCACCCAGCCAGCAAGTGGTGATATGGCATTCAGTTGAGCAGTTCTGCAGACAGCAGTGTATTTATCTTGAAACCCTCCTTCTGGTAAACTGCTTGGAAGTCACCTGCTGGATTGCACGTGAGCAATCACTCACACTGTTGTTCTTTGTGTTGCTCGTGTCCATTCCAAATCTCACCCACCTCCTCTTTGTCTGAATACCAGCAAGATGGAACTGAGGAGGTGGAGGTTTGGCAGAGCCCTATACCATGCCATGGAGGTGCCACTCCAAGGGGCTCCTCAGCCAACCTGATGGGTATTGCTAGCAGAAAAACGCGCACCCAGCTATTGGAAAGGATTTGAGCAACCTATCTCAAAGAACATCAATTAAATATAGGCAGTAGTTTTATTCATTAGGAACCGTTTTACTCCTGGTGCCAGGCAGAATGGGAGCTCATATTACCATTAATTTTGTCTCCATGTAAATTCTGGAAAATCTAGGTACCCAGCATTTTTTGTTGAAACTGTGTGCACCCTGAGATAGTTTAGAATGTGCAGTGCATAATCATAACACTTAGGATACTTGCCATCATATGTAATTCCAGAAAACTAAGATGTCCTACAATTAGGTAAAAGAAGTAGATTCAATCATTCTTGTCTATCTTTGTCTCATTTTCCCCCTTAGTGTTCTTATTTTTCGATCTGCTCTTCTTCCTATAAAAAGCCTAACTGTACTTCTTGCTATTAATCTCTGCTGCTTTTTCTCCAGTAATAACTGCTGATTTAAAATACTTAAACATAACCTAAAAAAGCTATTGTAGTCCTGTTGCGTCTTCAAATAGAAAACATGCTGAACCTTGTTGAATAAAACTGAGAATCAGAATAATGACGTTTTCATGAGGTGATTTTCAAGTGGCACAGAAATAGGTTTTTTAATCATTCCCGGTTGATTTTTGGCTTCTGCAGGATCATGGATAACCAATGTTATTGACTTAATTATTTAAAAGAATTGCCGTAACTTTATGCCTGTGTTCTTATTCTTTAAATAAGAACATATAAGGAAGTCAGGATTGCTTGAACATTGTACAATTTAAACAATGATTGATTTATATTGTAGTTACATTTGATTTGTTTGGGGATGGTTTCGTTAGAAACCTTTTAATTTTCAGTTAAAATTAGAGCCAATCATCTAGAACAAGTAAAAAATTTTGTTTTGATTCTTTTTCCTCCAGCCAAATACAGCCTAAATACAGAAATTCCGTAAAAATAGAATGTTTTGTTTTTTATTTTTAGGTGTCCATACTTGTTTTGTGTGTAAGGAGAGAAAGGCAGAAGTGAAACGCTGTATTGTATCCCAGTGTGGTAAATTCTACCATGAAGCTTGTGTGAGAAAATTTCATCTTACTGTGTTTGAGAACAGAGGTTTTCGATGTCCTCTCCATAGCTGTGTGAGCTGCCATGTTACTAACCCCTCAAATCCAAGAATATCAAAAGGTATTCATTTTTTTTAGATTTTTTTTTAAACTTTGCGTTGCTATTGCTTAGCTACAACTACCATTGTCATACATAAAGAATAAAAGGTATTCCTGCTAAATGAGCTATTAATTTTGTTCAAACCAGTTAACGTAGTTTATTATAGTGATGTGGTAGGAGGACTTTGTTTATAATTAGAGGCAGTTTTACTCAAAGCCCTAATTCACTTATAGCTATAGAGCAGGGGTGGACAAAAGGACCTTTGTGGGCCAGATCCAGCCCGTCAAGTGGTTGATCCAGCCTGCGGAGGCCCTGCCACTCTCCTGTCCCCAGGCCAAGTAGCACACAAAGTTTCCTCCGCCCTGAGATAGGAGGAGACTTTGCATTCTCCCCCTTCTGTCCCCAGACCACTCAGGGCTTGGGGGTGGGGGAGTGCACAAAGTCTCCTCCCTCCCTGCCAGGAGCACGTGGTGTTCTAAGCTCTGTTCGCTCCTGGCAGGGCAAAGGAAACTTCGTGCTTCCCTCTGCCCCCAGACCTTGATTGACGTGGGGGTAAGGGAGCATGTGAAGTCTCCTCCCACCCTGCCAGGAGCAAGCGGTACTTCTAAGGGCCGCATGCTCCTTCCAGGGTGGGGGCAAGGGCGGAGGAAACTCTGGAAGGGGCGGGGCCTCAAGTAAAAGGGGTGAGGCCAGGATACTTCCCTGCTTCCCTACCCCCAGACCATGATTGGTCTGGGGATAGGGGAGCACGTGAAGTCTTTGCCCCCCCCTCCGAGTTTCCCCCTAGGTGCTCATGCCTCTAGGGTGGGAAGAGACTTCACATACTCCCCCTTCGGTACTCAGGCCAATCAGGGCCTGAGGGGCAGGGGGAAGTGCACAAAGTTTCCTCCGTACTTCCCCTTTGGCCATTTCTAGTCTCACCACCTTTCTGCTCTCCTGGGTCCCTGCCCCTGTTCATTATCCTCCCCTTTGCTTCCCTGGCACATGTCCCTGCCCTCCATCCACTTCTACCCCCAAGAAGCCTTCTCCTTGACTTCTTGCCCTCCTGACATCTTTCCCCTCCCCCAACACCCTCTACACCCTGGAACCCACCCATCATTTCATCTCCCTTCAGTTACCTGGCATTCACCTTTCCCTTTCGCCTCTGCTACTATGTTTACCACTCTGCCCTCACCCCCATCTGCTCCCATGGTGTCTGCTGCTGCCCTCCACCCTTCCTCTATTGTCCTGGCTCCTATCCTGCTTACTCCCCTCAGCCCTCCTTGAGACCTGCCCCCCTCCTCATCCTCTCTGACCTCTGCATCCACCCTTCCCTTCCCCCTGTGCCCACGCTTCCTCTGGCCCCACTGATCATCTGTTGCTACCCCTCCCCAACTTCTCTACTAGCACCTCCCTCTAACATTTTAAGGATGTTAAAATGCAGTTAATTGACTAGTTGATGGAATTTCCAGCGACTAGTCAATAGACACTTCTGCATTCCTCCTTTGAAATGTAGAAGAGCCCCCATTTCAAAGGAGGAATGTAGAACTCTGTGTACAGCCTGGTGCCAGCAGGAAGTCCCACAGACCCTGGGCTGCACACGGGTGCCTTCTTTGAAATGCACAAGAGTCTGCAGCGTGGGCTCTTGTGCATTTCAAAGCCATGGAGCCCGGGATCAGCAGGGGACTCCACACGATCACGGGCTCCCATGACATTTCCCCAGAACTCAGGATCTCCTGGGGAATCCCCCACTGACCCTGGCTTCTAGAGGCATGCAGGATAGCATGGAGCTCGGAGTCAGCAGGGGACTTCCTGCTGGTCCTGGGCTGTTCGCAAAGTTCCGCATTTCTCCTTTGTCCACTGGGGACTCTTGTACATTTCAAAGGAGAAATGTGGAAGTGCCTATTGACTAGTCAAAAAACTATCCGATAAGCAAGTGCTTATTGGATAGTTGACTAGTCTTTAACATCCTTAACCTGTACCCACTTACCCTGTCTCTCTCTTCCCTCTGATGCCCATCCCTCCCTTCTACTCCCCTCTCTGGGTGTGTCTAGACTACATGCCTCCTTCGACGGAGGCATGTAGATTAGCCAGATTGGAAGAGGGAAATGAAGCCGCGATTAAAATAATTAAAATAAACCTGGTTTCACGAGGCATACCTGTGCCGATGAAGAAAGGCTTCTTTGTCGGCGCATCGCGTCCAGACTGCCCCGATCTGCCGACCAACAGCTGATCGGCAGAGCGGGGCAGCCATTTAAATTTAAATGAAGCCGCGATTATTTAAATCGTGGCTTTATTTCCCTTTGCTGAACAAACAAATCTACATGGCTCTATCGACGGAGGTAGTGTGGACACAGGTATAGTTTTGTCGACAAAAGTCCACTTTTGTCGACAAAACTATGTAGTCTAGACACACCCTCTGTGTCTGCCCTTCTGCTTAGCTCCCTGGCATCTTTGCCTTCCCTTACCCCTTGAACCCTCCTGGTGCCCTCCCCCTTTCCTTAGTGCCCCTACCCTCCCAACACCTATTCCCCCTTGCCCTCTCCCTCCCTAAAGCCACCTTACCACCCTCTGCTCCAGTTCTCATAGCCTTTTGTGCCCTCACACATGACTTGTTCCATACTCTGCCTTCCTTATGCTCACCGCTCCTTTCAACCTCTCTTCTCCCTGCACCCACTCTCTCCTCCCCTCCCCTTCCCTTTTCCTTCCTCTTGCCCCCATTGCCCCTTCCTTCTGCCCCTCCCCTTTTTTCTCCCAGCAGCACTCTGTCCCCCTCTGCTTCCACTCCTTTTCCCTTCCCTTCCCCTCCTGCCCTCTCCTCCTCCTTCCCCTAAGCACAAGCCCTTTCCTCTCCGCACCCCATCTTCTGCTTAGTTTTCTCCCTGCCCATTCCCTCACCTTCTACCTTTGAAATGGTGGGTGGCTGCTCTGGAAGCCAGGCCTGTGGTGTTTTATTTAGTACCGCAGTCAGGGCCCAGAAGCTGCCACGCAGCCCTGGAGCAGGACAGCATGGTGGGCAACTGCCCCGGGTGCCAGGTCTGAAGCTTGCGCTGCCCACGGTGCTATTTTTAGTATTGTGGTCCCAGCCCTGGAAGCACTTCTAGGGCTGAGCCGGCAGTACTAAAAATAGCACTGCGGACAGCCCCAGCTCTGGTCCCGACACGCAGGGCAGCTGCCTGCCACGCTGTCCTGCCCTGGGAGCAGTTGGGGCCCAGGCTGAGTGGAAGCTTCTGTGGTGCTCTCATGGTAGTAAAAATAGCACCGTATGGTGGGCAACTGCAAGTTTTGGTACCGTGGCCCAGACTCCAGCTCTGGCAGCTACCACATGGCTCTGCTAAGAAGGTGCGTGGGACTTAAATGATTGGTGAGTGCCCCCACAGGCATGTGCCTTAGAAGGAACCCTACTTAGCACAGGGGTGGGGCACCCTTTTTTGGTCGGTGCCCCTGACCCACAGAAAAATCAGTCATGGGTCATGCAATGCGGGCAATTAAATGCTATTAACTTGCAGATATTTATTTTAATGTGTATGTAAGGCTTTTTTTCTTTTAACAACTTATTACATACATGCTGTTGTGTATGTGTGAAGCATTTCACATGTAATGTTACCATGCTTTAAATTGAGCATGAGATCCTTAAGCAAAATTCAGTGTAAAAAACCTGTTAATTCAATATTCTGATTGAATTTAAATGCACAGTTTTCAAAATTATGGTATTGTCACATTTTTGTATGTATGTGTATAAGGTACAATATTCTGTAATCATGCATTTTTTTGCATTATATATGTAGGCCAGTTAAATCTCTAGTTAAAAAGATAACAGAGTATTCTGCATTTTCAAGGCAAAATGATGCGGTGTATTCGTTGTCCTGTGGCTTACCATGCTGGAGATGTCTGCATTGCTGCAGGGTGTGCAGTGATCACTTCCAATAGCATTGTTTGTACCAATCATTTCACTGCTATGAAAGGAAAAAGTCATCATGCACACGTCAATGTGAGCTGGTGCTTTGTGTGCTCAAAAGGTAAACTGACATACAAATCTTTTATTTTACTGTTTAGAATTCCAGTAAATCGGTATCAAATTCATTTTTTTAGTTTAAATGTCTTAATAAAATATAAGTTAAAGAGAAACTTCAGACACATGATCTAAGTTGAAATTTCTTCAACTGTTGTTGAAAGTGTTGGAGTATCTGGTTAGCTGCTGATGTGGGTGTTTGTTTTGCTTCCACTTTCGTTCAACTAATCCAGGGGTGGGCAGTATTTTTGGTGTGGGGGCACTCCAAGATTTTGGAAATGGTCCAGAGCCACACTTTTCTGTGGAGGAGACGTGGGGGTGAAGGATGGAGGCTGGGTACAAAAAGGCACATTGGGTAAGGGACTGGGGTGCAGAAGACAATGTGAGGTCTATGGGGGAGTTTGGGTGAAGGAAGCTATTGTGACCTGGGTCAGGGGATTGGGATGCAGGAGAGGATTCTGGCCTGGGGGAGGGATTGAGGAGGAGGTACAGAGCCTAAGAGGGAGTTATGACCTGGGGCAAGGGGGTGCAGAGGGTTTGAATGGACCTGGGAGAGGGAGTTGGTGTGCGGAAGGGGGTGCCAGAGGCAGGTTCTGACTGGCAGACACTTACCTAAGTGCCTCCTGGCCAGTACCCTCAAGGCAGGTTGGGTTCCCTTCCTGCTGTAGCCCCTCATCACTTAGAGCTATAGGCTATTCCCTCCATGTGGCTCTCTTCTCCCTCCCGGAACTGAGACTTGCCATCTCCCGTGCCGATTTGTCAGCTTCTATTGGCTGGTTGTTTCCATCCAATAGGAGCTGAGGATTGGGCTGGAGGCAGGGAGATCACAGGAAGGACTGGGCTGGGGGCAGGGTCCCATACTTGGCACATACAAAGGCCAAGTCAAAAACCCATTACAAAGATGTTCCATTGGCAGCAAAAAACCTAAGTCACACACTGCACTGTCGCCATGCCGCCTCCGGTACCGAGAAGACAGAGGCAATGACTGAACAGTAGGTAGTGATTGTTATCGGCACCACAGGTAGCTGTGGTACCACCATCTTTGATTATGCTGGCATCATCAACGCAGATTTATTAGAGTATTAGCTTTCATGGGCAAAGACCTACTTCATCAGATGTATGCTCCAATAAATCTGTTAGTCTGAATCTGCATAAACAACGAGAAATCCTGTGGCATCTTATAGACTAACACGGCTACCCCTCTGATACCTGCTTCTAGCAGGTCCACTCCTGTAAGCTCAGAACCACCATAGTCAAGCAACGTGGAATACAAACTGCTTGTCGGTGCTCATACACAAACCTCATCTGCAACACCAGAAGCAGATGCCACAACCTGCACACCAATGGCAAGCACTCCGGTGGCTTCCACCTCCAATCCCTATGCCAGCCAAGGGGACATACTGGGATCCTTACAGGATCCAGCAGCCACAATCATCCCTGGCTGTACCACCACTGATTGCCTCCACACCATCATTGGATACTTTCTAGTGCCAAGAGGACAAGCCTCCTTCATTTGACGAGTCTACAGTTTCTTCACACCCGCCAACACACATCGTCATCTTCCCCCAACGATACTCTGATGTCTCCACCTCCCACAATGTGAGATGACTTTAAAGCTTTCCAAGAACTGTACAGAAGGGTGACGGACATTCTTGAGGTCATTAGTTAGCCCCCGGAGGCTCAACACAAATCTTGCATGCAGCCCTGGCAGTTAAACTGGAGCTCCCCCTGGATCCAGCCTTCATGGACCCAGCCAAGGTGATCTGCCAGAGATCAGCTATGATACTAGCTGTCTGCAAAAGGTCAGACTGCAAATATTATGTTGCACCCCAAGGAGCTGACTTCTCATTCTTGCATCTGACCCTTAATTCCATAGTGGTTAATGCAGTGAACCAAAGGGGCAAACAGGCTGCGACTAGAACTAGCCCCTATGAAAGAGAATGGAAATGCCTCTTCTTCATGGGGAGGAAGGCATATTCTTCTGCATCCCTACAGCTATGCATATCAGCCATGCTGGCCAAATACACACACAACATCTTCGAGTAGATGACACATTTTATTGAGGCACTACCTGAGGACAAGAGAGACCAATCCAGGGCCAATATTAACGAGGGCACCCTGATATCACGCCTGGCCCTTCAAGCCACGCTTGACCCGTCTGACACTGCTTCCCAATCTATTGCGATTATAATGGTGATGAGGAGGTCATCTTGGCTACACCTGTCCTGTTTTCCATGCATAGTTCAGGCCACAGTTGAAGATCACCCTTTTCCGGGATCCAAGCTCTTTGCTGATGCCACAAACCCCTCCACCCCAGTCCCTGAATGACTCCTGCACTACCTTGAATATGCTTGGTATTCAGGTCTCTGCAGTAAAACATAAACAGGGAAGAAATTTCACTCAGCGGTACAGACACACACTTTTCAGCCAAGTGCAAAGGCAGTTTGACGACAGAAAGCAACAATGCTGGACTAAGAGGAGACAAATTTCTGACCAACCTTCCACCTCCCAACTGCCTACTTCAATTCAAACATTTTGAAGGTCAGTATGAGAGTGTGGTAACATCTCCTTGTTCAGGGAAACCTCGCTCCCTTCACCTATGCTGTCAACGTCTGGCACTAACCCATAGTCCTCCATCACTACCGATAGATGGGTACTGGACATTGTAAAGAATAGATACTGCATCCCCTTTTCTTCTACTCCCCTTTCCCACCCACCTTTCCCATCCCTCTTCAGGGACCCATCTCACGAGACCATCCTCCTCCATGAGACCCGTTATGCTTAAATGAAGTACACGAGTTCTTTTATGGGGAAAAGGCAGTATGCCACATTTATTGAGAATACAACAGTTGCATATGCTTTTTAATCACTCACACATGCAAACACCATACTCACACATGCAAACACCATACACACACAGTCCCTCCAGACGATGTTATAGTTACCAGTCCAGAGTCTGTATCAATCTAGTGGCCAGTTAGATCGAACACAGAGGGAGAGCAGGGCCTTTGGTTGGTCGCGATCTTCTGGAGTTGGTGGCAAGCTGAACCCAAAGTTCCATAGCAAGGCACCATGCTTTTATAATCCTCCTTCCTCTGTTGAAGTCTATGGATTTCGCTGTGTCAGTCTGTGACCAGTTACTGTTATATTGTTGATGTTAATCATTCCCAAAACATCTCCAAGAGGCTCATCCTGTCCTGGATTGTTAATCAGTTGTTTTTAGGGATGCTTTACCTTTAGAGCCGTCAATCTGCCAGTCTGATCAATTCTTGACCGGGGATACGCACTGATGGTTCCTCCACTGGTATGCCTCTTCGCAGTCTGTCTTTTATAGTTTGTCTCCACCCGCATTGTCCCCCTTCTCTCTTGACCATCTGGCTCTAACGATGACCTTCACACGTTATCTCATTCATACAAACAGTCTTTCACAAAATCCTTCAAAGGTAAACAGTACTGTTTTATATTAAGCAAAAGCAAAACAATTCACATCGAAGGCCCGGACCTTCAATATTTCTTATCTCATTATCATAAACACAGTACCAAAATCCTGTCTCTTTACTTACTAAACTTTTATATATAACTAAAAGGCTTGCTTAATAAAATGTTAAATGTGTTACCTTACATTGCTACATTATTAATCCTAAAATATAAATATAAAAAGAATAAAACTTTCAATCCCAACAGACCAAACATCTACTCCATCCCTGCGCAGTGGAACACATACCACAGAAATAAGAGGGGAAAGGGTTCTACTCCCACTACTTCTTCACTGCAAAGAAGTCAGGGGGGTGAAGACCGATTCTCGAACTCAGGAGGCTCAACAGGCATATATGACCATGATTCAAGATGGTCACCATAATCCCCACCTTGACCAAGGACGATTGGTTATCAACTCTCAACTTCTAGGATGCATATTTTCATGTATCCATTCACCCGGCTTATTGCAAATACCTCAAATTTACAGTTCGCAGGGCACATTTCCAATATACAGTGCTTCCTTTCAGATACTCCTCAGCCCTGAGAGTCTTCTCAAAGGTGCTATCAATTGTTGCTGTGCATCTGTGCAGACACGGAGTCTCCAAATTTCTGTACTTCAACAACTGTCCAATGAAAGGAAGCACAAGTTTAGAGGCAAAAAAGCCGTCTCTGTGACTGGATCTTTGTTTCACATTCTAGGGCTATGGATAAAACCTCCAAGTGCAAATGTGAATAATCTCAGACAATGGAGTTCATTGGAGTTCACCTCAACTGTATGAGGGCCATAGCTTCTCTACCTCAGCAGAGATTTCACACTAGAAAGGATCTCATAGTGATTCTCCAGACCACCCCACAGATAACTGGAAGGACTTGCTTACAGCTACTAGGGGTCATGGCTGCAGCCACATCAGTGGTGTTGCACGCCAGGGTGCATATGAGACCAATGCAGCAGTGGCTCAGGATAGTATACAGGCCATGATACAACTGCATCACCAAGTTTGTGTCAGTCTCAACCAGAATCAAACGTTCCCTCTGTCGTACCTCGGTGTTTTCGTACCTCGGTACCTTCGGTGGTCTGGACTGTCAGTGTCGTCTGGTCAGGGTCGTCCTGGCGCGCTCCTGACAGGATCTCTACTCCGTCGGTGATAAACTTTCGGCTGCGTGCGTAACAATCGGTACTCCCTTTATCTAGAGTGTTAGACCCCGTGCACTTGGGTCAACACAGGAGATCTCTGAGAGGCCCCGTAAACAACAGATGCAGGCAAGGTTTGAAATCAGTCGAGCAGGTTTATTGTCAAATGCGAAGCTCTACCAGTTGGTAACAGAGATCAGTACAATGTTACACCACTGGGCACTATGGCCCGTGTTGACAAGGTACCAACACCGGGCAGGCCTATTGCCATATATCAGATATTAACAGCAGTTAGTCAAAGTTAAGCTACTGTGCATTCTGTAAGTTTAGGCAATGACACCTGCCGTTCAGGCGCCTAGTGCGCCCCCCCCAAGGTCGGCCGGAGAGCACCCTCTGCG